TTAGTTCTGGGCAAATTATTCTTTTTTGATGTAGAGCAAGAGCTTACGTCGCAGCTCCCATTCCACGGTCATCTCGGCCGGAGAAGTAGCACGCCCCGATACACCATATATCACGCATGAGTACTTGCGCCTCATGTGACTTTGACTTTGACCCACCGGTTCTGTGTTCGATGAAGCTTTAATAGTCTAAGGACTGAAAGCGTAACATCAGTTATACAGAAACAAAAACAAACCATATACCATCGTAAAATAGAAGTATTTACTTAATATACTTTTGCGTTTGGCCCGATGAGTGAATTAACTAGAGCTAAGCTCCGGGTGACCTCTCATGGATACTGGCAACCGCCATATCACTTGCCACTTGTTTTTCGCAGTGATGGCCCGGTGGCGCATTTGCCGAGCTATTGGCTTCGACGAGAGTGGTCGTGAGTTCAATTCCCACACGGCTCTAGTACTTCTGTGACCGACAGATAACTGTTTCGGATGTGAGTGTTTATTCTCAATTCAATTCAATACATTTATTTTTTATCTAATTAAATATATTTCTTGTTCCCAGAATTTCTATCACGGTACATCCTTTATTCATAATAAAATTTTCATTGTGTATTAGTTCAATTATTTTTGTCATAAATGTGTGATCTTTTTAAATATAATTTACAACGATTACATGTATTTAGTTAAAACGGTGGATTGAATAAGAAAATGCTCTTACTTATGAGACGAAAACTTGTGCTGGTCATAGTGCAATTCTCAAATGTATGGCACTTCTCGTTGCAGTCATATATATTTCTGTGGTTAATAGTTACGAAACATGAAAGTGACTATATCAATCTTACAAACTATTACTTTACTAATAATCGAAGACATCGTTGAACCTCACTAAATTTACAACGGTCTTTATCCGTTATCTTCCTTCGGCACGCGACGTCGCCATCAAAGCCCGCTTCTAATTCAAACAAAGGCAGCTCTAGCGTTCTGCCCATTTGGACGCGAGTCGAATGGATTACACGGGCAGCGAGGATAGCGCTGTTTAAAATAGGCAAAAGCATCAATGGAACGGCCGACTAAGTGCCTTTCATCAGTCTTCATCTTTACCTGGTGGCGTATTAACGCCCGGTTTCTGAAACACTGATCATCGTAGAAGATAACTAATCAGCTGTTAAATGGCTTTTCAAGTGTCATTTGAGTTGCCAAAAGGATGGTTAAACTCTTTGAATTGATCGTCCTGATCATTAAGAAGATTATTCTGATCAGCGTTTCAGAAACCGGGCGTAGAAGCAGAAGCCATGTTCGAATAAACGACTTGAGCCGATGATACGTTCTTTGTACTTGTCAGGTGCAAAAATCACCGTCGTGAATTACGAATATAATATATTACGGGCTGGTTGGACTTTTAAGAAGGTCATTCAAGAGGTGACCCAATCCTTAACGGCGGACTGTTGCACGAATGGCCAGGTCCATCCGGCTAATACCACCACCTCACAGAACACCGGTGTGAAGTGGAAGTGTTTACATTGCCTTTACTTTAGGATAACATTATCCTGTGTTGTAAGGACGTTTTACAAACATAAATTTCACGCGGACAAACACCCAGGTTCGGAACAATTATCTGTGGGTCACACAAATAGTTGTCCCGTGTGGGAATCGAACCCAGGACCCTCGACGCCGAAGCCAACACCTTGGCAACTACGCCACGGAGTCGTCAAGTTTCGTCCGGTGAGGTAGCTGGCCTATTTGATTAAAAGGTAAGCAACGTATAAGCAACTCTACTGGCGTTGCAAATGTCCATGGGCAGCGGTTATCACTTAAGATCAGGTGGATCGGCAGCTTGCTTCCCACCTTTAAAAAATAAGAAGGGCAACGTTGCAACTCTTGTGGTATTATGAGCTTCCATAGGCAACGATCACGTGTTATCAATGCGTGGTATCAGGTCAGCTGCTTGCTCGTTTCCCACCACCTTTATAAATTTGCTTGGATTACAGTGATGTGCTATATAGTATTAGGTCATGCATAAGCATGGTAGCTTTATAGTATAGCTATACATTTTGTGTATACGTTTTAGTACAGCTATACATATAGCTATACATATTTTGTGATGTTCAGTGTTTTAGAATAAAAAAAGATGCTTGCTGCGTCTACGTGAAGAAACCTGAATATTTTCGAATTAATAACAAAAAAAAAATTTTAAGATATGTGAAGTCCGCCAATCCGCAGTGGGGCTGCGTGGTGGACTATGCCCTGATACCCTCTGTATAGAGGAGGCCTTTGCCCAGCAGTGGGACATGTATAGGCTGTTACTTTACTTTCTTTACTTTTTTTTTCAAATCTTTATTTTGAAGGACAGCGTCATCACTTATAATACAGCTCTAATGATAGAAGATCAAGACATATGAAGAGATGTTCTCAAAGTTATTGTTAGGTTCGCGTTTTCTTTGCAGCGACTCTTAATTATTCAAAGGAGTAAAAAGAAACGACCATGAAAGAACACGTAATTATTTATTTACACTAAACGATATTCACATGATTTGCTGAAGCACAATTAGAGTGCTGCTATTTTAAACGATGTACTTACTATCTATTAAGTATCTGGGGACGTAGTAGGAACGTATTATAATGTACCAATGTTGACACATTCAAGACGCGATCGAAATGATGAAATTTCGTTAACAGCTTTATTTTCACACTTAAGACTTTGAGAGCTTTTGTTGAAAAGTAAGACAAAAAAAATTAGATTTATCTACCTAGTTTAAAAAGTTTACAAAGTGATAAAATAAACGAGACAGTCACATTTGCAACGATTTTTCGTACGCTCGTGGATTCCACATATTGTTGAATTAAACTGTTGTGCGATCTTTGTTCTGATTTATTTTGGGTTCAAATATCCGCCGTTTCTACTCACTCTCACAAAACTGTTTTGTTTAACTGTTGTTTATAATTTAGGTGTGCTCGTATGTGCCAAAACCGATTCAGTAATCTAGATCTTTGCAATAAATATGACCTGAACAAAAAGAAAGCTGGACTGGTTTAAAAATTGTCCCAAACTTCGCAGTTTGGTTTTCTTTAACAATAATAAGTCCATAATTAGTTTAACCTAAGAATAGGTAAATTATGATATTTTTCGTGTGTTAAAAGAGTAAATTATAAATAATACATATTACAACATATGTCATATTTACCGTGATTCCATTTAAAAAAATTGCATTACATTTTTATATTTTCCTACATGAAAAAGCCTTGTTAGTTTTAACTGTTTGCTGCATTTTCAAGTTCAGGTCCACTTTTATGAAATGACCAGATAATATGACCTGTAACAGTAATAATACATAAATAGTTAGATACATACATATATATATGTCGCACTAAGGTTATATATATATATATATATATATATCTAACCTTAGTGCGACATTATGAATGATTTATATCATCTACTGAATAGACAAATATTTTCTAAACACTCCAGTTTTAATAATCTGTGTTTATTCTAAGACTTATTAATATCATAATCAATTTATGTTGTTATTGTTCAACGTTTCATTGCTATGATTAATTAACATGACCATCAGTACGAGTACAATACTCGTAGTTCAGATCGATTCAAGTAAAAATAGATGGCTTCTTAGAAAAACTGGAAAAAATAGTTTCATTTAACAATGCGTAGTGTTCACGTTAACATACTATAATTATTATAAATAGAAGTAAGCAAACCTCAGTGGAGTTTGTCTGTTTTTGCTTTAGCACATGTAAAGTTTAAAGTTCCATTATAAAACAAAAAAAACAAAATCATAGTGAAATGTAATCACACAATTCAGTTACATATAAATAGTAGAAATCGACTGCTTTAGTTCGTCAAATATTCGATCCATAAATACCAACTATTTTAATAATTATATGGTTACTAAATATTTTACTTTAACAAATTTAATGGTTGTAAGTACCAATTATGGAACAAGCAGTATCTAAATAGAGTTCCGACACGCTTCTAAAAGTATTTAAAATTTATCAAATATGATTTCCCTACGGTTTAGAAAAGCGACAACGAGTTGGTTGAACTAATTCAGTATTACAAATTCTCACTATATGAAAATCGGTGTTTACGCTTTTTCGTTCGAGTACGTGTAGTTTTTCTGACGCTAATATTACTCTAAATATAATACTCTAAATATTATAATATTAAAATACTCTAAGACTAAGCGATCTTACTATACAATTACAGTATTTACAACATGACACAGGCAAACGCAATATCACTGATAACCCAAAACATTTATATTGCACTGCACGGTACCATAAAAGCTTTGAAAAATGGTGGATTGTTGTCACAAATTATTTCTAGCTGATATTGCATACAGAATATCAGTGATATTGCCACCGCAATAAATAATTTAGAATATCTCTTTAAATATTAAGTACTTAAATAATACAGTCAACTATCACATTTATATATCGAAAGAAGCATCTTCGTTATTATATTTTTGTACAGACGTATTTACAAATCCAAGTTTATAAAATAGCAGATTACTGAAAAATTGCCATTTAGCAATACTAAAATTTACTTTGATAACATTTTTGACGCTTCTAAATGCTAATTCATTAAATACCCTTTAAGTAGTCAAGTATAACGCGATGCTAAGTTATTAGTGAAGATAAAAACATCTAACGTCACATAGAGACAATCAAAAATTTCATTGACAATCATCTAAATTCATTTAAAGCAGTCTGTAAGTCGCACATAATTAATACACAGATTTAACGGTACATGTGGTTTTAGATATCTTAATAGTTCGACGGATATATTTTAATGGGTCGCGCCTCCTTTCTCGTGAAGTTAGGATCAATAAACTTTTCAAGTTACACCACTGTAGACCGTTCCTTTTCAGTCTGTAGTGTCTCTATCACTGTTCGTTATAGTCTGTGATTTATGGATATCGATTTTAAAAATCGAGCACGCTCCGATCGTAGCTGACGTCAGGCGCGATCGAGCGCGCCGCCGCATTTCATTTCGACGCGTTCACGACCAGGTTCGTCGCAGCCTCCTCGCTCGCGCCTATGCTCATCGCCTTCTTCTTCAGTATTCCTAGATCCGTCACGTTTTCCAGGAAGGTCTTGTGCGCGGACAGCACTTTGGCGCTCTCCACGTCCTTCTTCAGTTCCTCCATGTCCCTTTTCAGCTTTGCTCGCCTGTTTTGGAACCAAGTAATCACTTGTGCGTTGGACAGGCCCAGCGAGCTCGCGATCTCGTCCCGGTCCGCGGGCGACAAGTACTTCTGGTAGAGGAAACGCTTCTCCAGCTCGAAGATCTGGTGGTTGGTGAACGCCGTCCGTGATTTCCGCTTCTTCTTCGGCTGCGGCCGCGAGTTGAACAGGTTAAGGTGGTTTGACTGACCATCTGAAACAACGGAGACGTGCCTTATTAAAAGGACAATAAAAACCTCGGGCAAGTATAAATCGTAATGGGTAAACCCTAGTCGTTTACGGGTTTCGACGAGTTCATTGATGTTTCTGGTTTTGTACAAGCATTAGTGATATGAAATATTAACTTATATATTAAGACCGTCCAGAAATTTCCGTTGATTACGTTCAAAGTCTTCTCTTTCTCCTTATTTATCTCATTTCGATGGGGTCAGCATATGAATCATGTTGTTAGGGTATTGGCTAATCTTTTTACGTACGGCCGCCTGCCTGACGTCAATTCTCAATGGGTTTCAACACCTAGATCCGGAACAATTAGCTCACGTCGGTCACGAAAATACTTATTTCGTGTGAGAATCGAACCCACGATCAATAACTGCACTAAAATCCAGGTATGTTTACTTATCATAAAAAATCTCACCACCTGTCACTGACCAATACCTGTTTGGATAACCAGCAGCACAATCGGAGGTCAATTGTTGAACAAGACACAAAGCATCTACAATATAAGACACAAAAAATATAAGTGTCACAGCAGCATTGCAGGTTATTTGTGGGTGCAGGGTATGAGTTATTTCCACATATATTGGTACTATCCGTATTCTTCAGCAGTATAATAGATATTTTTAATTAAGTTTAAGTTTTGTTTATTTATAGAATTTATACTCAGACCGTCCTGATACCAAATAATGACAAAACCACCTGCATCAGAAATACCAACTTTACGTCAATACATGAACTTTATCTTTTGGTATTGAATAGATGAGGCCGACTTTCGAATCGTTATCAGGCACTAAAACATCATTCCGAGTCTATGACACCGTAATAAAGAGCCCGCAGCGCTAAAATGTAACTCTCGCCGCCATAAAGTGTACAATAAAAGCACGCCCAGGTATCGTAACATTTTAACGATCCCAATAATATACGGGCCGTTCTTAAAAGCTCCTCTGAGAGAATAATCATCGCGAACATTGTTGGAAATTAGTCCGTTGGTTATGATCTACTTATCCTAGAATTGCCGCAATGAAGATTTAATTTTTTACTTTTTTTCTAACACGCATCAACTGTGTACAAAACGCAATAACAATGACTCTATCTTGACATGCGTTTTGTCCTATTTCTCGTTATTATCTGTATATTTCAGACTATGGAAATCGTGTTACTCCTAATTGTTTTTTGTAATTAACTTGTTAATGTTTCAGTTTATGGTTTTAGGTAACTACTATGTTTTATTGTTTCTCGTCGCGATAAGAAAATGTGTAAGTAATAAGTTTCGCTTTACCTGTACCTATGAAAAAATATTTTCAACCGTTATTAATATATCCATTGCTGTCAAATATATACATAGTAGATACCTCTATGCTCTTTTATCCAATTCTAATCTATTAATAGTATACCTAAGAGTTATATTTTTTTCTCCGATGCTAAAAACTATTATTACATAATTTTAATGTAGACTTTTAAAAACTCTTTAATGTTTATTCTAGGATAAAAACAAATAAGTAGCTTATAACGCATACTTTACAGTACATAATGTGTGATTTATTGAAAAGATTTTAAGTTTAAAGAATTTACTAAAATTGATGAATGATAAAAATTGTAAAATGCTTTTTTATTACAATAAATTAATGTGACTGTAATTTAATGAAAAAAAAAATTCAAAATATGATAGTAAAAGTGATAGAGTTCCGTACCTATTACTTTGTTTAATTTTTAATATGTAGATATTACGTCAATATGTTTATATCTGGGACGTTTGTGAAAAGTTCCACCGGACGCACAAAAAGAATACAACACGAACTGGTAACAATAACGGAATAAGAATAAAGTGTTCACTAACTTTTACGTAAATGATTTTATTGCATTCACTATACCAGAGATAACTGAGCCTTGGTATAAGTACCACTAAGGTGTATGCGGTTCGCCGCAAACGTGAATAAAAACGACTCATTGCAGTTAAATCCGTGTCGTGAACTTAAGCCGCCTATGCAAAGCATTGTCAGCGCCTTAATATCACATTTAAATCGTTAACGTGCAATTTGCTCTGAATAGCGTCCTTAAGATTCGTATTATTGTTTGTCCCTAACAAAATGATGAATCATCCGAAGCACTTGCAAAAATGTTGGCAATATACTTAGCATTCTTTGTAAGTGAGAGATATAATTCATATTTATTATTTCGAGTACTTTTTACGTTTTATGGGGATTAAATTTTATTTTTGACCTGGCAACTGCTTGGCTTGATGATGGTAAGCAACCGTTTGAAACCTGTTCATTCTTGTCAACAGCCGCATTTTTATTGGATGAAAATTAAAAAAAAGTAAAGTATCAGCCAATACATGTCCCACTGTTGGGCAAAGGCTTCCTCTGTACAGAGGGCATAGTGCACCACGCGGCCCCACTACGGATTGGCGGACTTCACATATCTTCGATTTTTCTTTGAAATTTGCAGATTGCCTCACGATGTTTACCTTCACCGCTGAACGCGTGATAAAAATGCTTTTTAGGATTCCTTAGGACTGATTATTATATTATACAAAAAGATATTCATAAATCCATAAACATACCCACACTCTTATTTATAAGAGTGGACTGATTCTCCCGATAATTTTTTCGAGTATGAAAGTCCTCGCGAATTTTCATTTTAAATACGAATCGTTTTCTTTAGCATTATTTTCCACAACACAATTTAAAAGAATTATAGGTACTACGTTTTTTTCTCGTCACAATAAATTAGTTTATCCATTAATTACAAAATTGAATTCCATTCGTCCGCCGTCACGGTCATTTTCGGAGAAGTCGAAATTAACAAAGGCGAACAATTTATAAAATACGATTTAAATACCGAAGGCATCAAAACGGCGAAACAGCTGTATTAATCATGACCTAATCGCATCCTTAGCGAATCTGGACCTCAATTAGGACTGTATGAAGGACGCAAACAGCTAAAAAAAAGTCAAAAGACGTCGTTACGAGGCCGCAAAAAATTTAAAATCAGTCACGACGGAACACCGAACACACCTGACTTAGGACGTGACAATGTTGCCTAAATCGCATTAGATTTTATTATTCTAACGACATATTAATAAGGGGGACAATTTAAATGTCGTCACTGCGCGGCGAATTGGAAATTTTTGATGTTGGCAATTTTATTTGAATAATGACGTCGTTTCGATGTGTGGTTTGAAATTTATTTATAATTAATTCGGTATGGAAATGTTAACTTAATGGTGTCAGAGTTTAATTATGACAACAAATGTGAAACATCTATAACCGCGGATCAGACGTAATATTTACGTCACGTAATGCATCCCCACCCTAACAGTATATGATAATACGATAGACAGTATGAAACATTTTCATCTACCGTATGGTGGTGTTGTGACAAAAAAAATTATTGAGCTTCTAATTTTTGTATTTAATTCTTTATTTATTTGTTTTAAATAAATCTTTTTAAATTGAATATTTTATTGTTGATTATGCCATGTTTAGTTTCTTTCATTTAATATCCTTTTATGCATATCATCTGTATCACATAATTTCGATGTTTCATATCTGCCAGGCGTCAAAAGCTTAATGGAAATTTAAATGTAAATAGAATTCAATTCAAAATATCCAAAACATTAATTGTTTTGATCTTAAAAACGCTATCAACAATCTCCATCTCAAAAATCTATCCACGTGACTTACCTATAAGCCATTTCTTATCCTTTGAACTTCGAGATATTTCACAACGCCATACTAACTACCCATTTAGTAATTTAAAACATTCACAATCAAACATACCAGTTCTTTCAACTTTATTAGTGTCTTTTTATTTTTTTTGTATTTTTAACTACTACTTTTTTGCATGTTTTTAGAAAATCGCTTAGATCAGATCGTATGTTTACAATGACCATTGTTTTTAAAAAAAAAAAACACGCAGCATGTCAGGTGCAATGTACTGAATTGTACTGACAGGTGCAAACGTGTGCCGTCTGTCAAACCGAACGGGGGTAATCGATAGCATTCGGAATCTCGTTACTTGGCAGTGTATACTCTGTTTAGTCAATGCTGCCGCGGAGGGGTGCCCCACAACGGGTCGATACGCACGTACCTACCGGACTTTATGTCATTTATTTTCTTTTGGGACTAAAGCCCTTTCGTAAACAGACGCGACACAATTTTAAATGTGTCGTCGATAGACAATAGCGATACCTACCAAGATCGGTTTATTTTTGTGTAGACATCGCTGCCTTTTTCTTAATTTACTAAAAGCTTGTTATAAGAAAGCTTGTGTTGTGTATATCATAATTACCTATACACTTTTTCTAAGCTAAACAAACAAACAAAGAGATTATTGACCCTGAGGCGCAGCTATACTGCTTATGAAGTAAAGTTTGTTAAGCATTTGCTTCAACTGTTCGATCCGCCGTAACTGAGTCAAATGAGACTTTCTTTCACATATTGTACTAACATCCTTTTACACGGGGACCGCGTCCAAAGGGCATTCGCTGCGTTCGCCGCGGACAATGGGAGTAGACAGCTCTTAACGAGTACAAATTGAATATCCCGCCACGTTCGGGCGCAGTTACGGAGCGCGGATGGATGGAATTTCGTTGAAAAACACCCGTTCTCTCCATCGTACGCGTCTATTGGGACTGGCAAAAAGCGTGGCGAACGCGGGCTTACGTGTTGGCCTTCTGACGGCCAACGAGTCGATCAAGCGTTTCTGTAATCTATGAAAATACAGGAGCGACTTATCACGTGAGCCAAATTTTATCAAGATGTATACTCAATATTAAAACATGTGGTCGTTTTAAAGGACTGATATATACTATTTGGTTTCAGTCCAAAGACTATTAAAGCTTCATCGAATGCAGAACTCGCGTCTATCCAGAACCCACGAGCTTGACATAGTCCTCCGCTGGGTAGAGCCGCGTATGCTCGGCGCGCGTTGCTTTAAACGGGAGATATGTCACCTAGGGACCATGACCCTATGGTGACTGCATTTATTTTAATCGGTGGCCTGGGGCGGTGAGAACCGCTTTAGAACGCGGGTGTACCTCGTGTACGCGTTATGTTAGTAGGTGTCGCCGTGAAGACATTCAAGTGTATTAGGCATAGACAATATTTCGCCCTTTTCAACTTATAGTAAACATTGGTAGACATAGAATTAGTTGCCAATATGAAATATATATTTTTTTTTCTTATGTTCGTAATTTTTACTTATAATTGTGATATTTTTTGTATATGTAAGCTTCACTAGCAACAATTTTAGTACGTTTCGTTTTGTAGTATAATAACAGAACACAAAAAAAAAATTCAAGTTATTAAATATATAATCACGCTTTCCGGTTTGATATATTTGATAACGAATGTAGATGAATGGCGATTGATATCATTATAATGCAAACTTGGCCCATTTGTGGTCATTACGGGTGTACAAGGATTAGTTCTTATAATGACTTCTGACGTACGGATAGCGTAATAACGGGGTTTGGGCTACCGAAAAATTGAAACGAAACAATAACAAACGCGCGATTCCATTTCGATTGCAAGCACAGGAATAGCTTCGGCGTAAATGACTGTAATTTACTTGTTATACGACGAATATTGTTTTATTCCCGTGTATGCGTTCCGTTGCCCTGTTTCTAATTCGAATTGAGATGGTAATTCTCGTGATTTTTGTTTCCCGGAAAATACGTACCCTGATAGAATACATAAAAGAAAATACAAATAACGGATAGACGTCGAAACTTCATCAACCGACATCAAATTCGGTTATCCTTTTTTATTTTTGTTACTTTAGAACTCGGTCATTTATGAACTAACTGGTTTTAAAATTTATGTTTTGCATTGGGCACGGTTTGGGTCCCATGTGGTCGTGTCAGCTTCTTGGATACATCAGGGCACTCGTCAAAATCAAATAGAAAAAGAATATTGAGTGAGACATTTGAAATCGTTTTTATTTTAATTAATAAAAATATTTTCCTTGTGGGGCATTCCACGCGAAGCGGACATGTAAAAAAAGTTAATTTTCCGATTTTAGTAATATTTGATTATGTTATACCTATATATGTCCTCAATCCTGATACAAAATATTTTTACAATATATTATATTTTTTAAAATATAGTTTATGACTTTAAAAATGTGACTAACCGGCAAGTATGCGCTACTTCGAATCAATGAATGGAAATAAATGAAGTTGTCAAATTTATACTTAATTTAATGAGCTTAATTGCATTTTTGGATATTATTTTTTTTAATCATGTTTAAACTTTTTAAACTTGAATTTCACAAAGTTGTACCATTTAAATTGTTTTATTTTCTATAACTAGTTAATAGTGTATAGATAGTCCTTGCCAAGTTTCATAATGGGCCCAGAAGTTCTTTAGGAGCTAGGCCATCTACAGTGGCGAAGGGTAGCGCCGGTGTCCGGGTCGTGCCTTTTGCCAACTAACGCGAGATTACAAAAACTTCCCACAGAATATTTTGTTTACCTAATTGAGTTTAATAAATCATTTGATCTTACTTAGATATACTTACATTTAAACGACGTTTGTTTATTAAAAAAATACAATTTTATACCTAATCTTTACTGTTACTTCTGCGATTTATCATGGTACCTTCAGCGGTCAAAACGAAGGCATGGTATTTTTTTGAATACGATATTGTCACTGAGGAGTCAAATCTGATTTTTAGCCTCTTTCCGAACATAAACATAGTAAGATTACTTTGGCGCATTGATAATCAAGCCATTTATACAAACACTGGGGGGTTATGATGGTTTTTGCAGGAGCCGATTATCAAGCGTTTAAATTGCTACTAAAACCGTCACCAGTCACATTGCCATGTGACTGACATGAACATGAAATTCTGCCTTTGTACTAAAATTACTTTTGAAATAGAACAGATTAATGATACTGAATCTATTTTAGTACTTTGTCAGTAATATTATAATATATTTTTTTACTTATATTTTGATTTGAAGATATTGATGCTAAAGGTTTTGAAAGGTATAAAAATATCAATGTCGTGATTTACATCGTCCTATATCATTAAAATAATTTCATAATTTAAGCTTTGTTATTATCTGTAATACACTGGCACAACCTGGACACCAGCGCTACCCTTGACTTTGAAAAAGATAGGACTTTATAACTAATTGTTATATTAGAACTTATTAACGTTCTTATCGTATCTGTTATCATTTCGATGTAGTCTTTGATAGAATCAAACTGACGCTCTTTTGAAAAGTCAAATGATGATAATTGTTAAAGCAAAATCTTGATT